GGCAGCCACCTGCTGCCTGTCTTCCAAAAGCACCTTTCAGGTTGTGCAAGTTGCTGGGAACATGGGCTTAGCCCTGAGTGACCTGGACTTCCATGAGGGTGCAGGGTAGTTTTTCCTACTCCAACAACTTGGGGCCCCCTGGCCTTATCCCACCAGCACTAGATGAGGCTATATAGAGGTGAGTCCCATTGGAAGAGGCCCATTGGAAGAAGCCACATAATGAGTCCCCTCCTGTTGGCCACAGAGAGAGCCCAGCCTGGAGGCCTGGGCTATGCTGGTCCTAGAGGAACAAACACCTATGGTCAGCACTGAGTGGATGTGAAGTCCAAGGGAATCAGAGGAACCCTGAGCTGTCTCTGCCCGGAGTCAGAGCACCTTCAGGTTGGGAAAAACTGAGCTAGACTTGTCAAGGCCTGGCATGGTTGTAGGCTTTGGTGTGTGTGTGGGCAGACAGACAGAAAGACAGACAGACAGAGAACGTGCCTCTATAGTTGTCTTTCATTCCTTAAAGAGCCCAGGTTGCAGGGGTTCTCCCTGAGCTCAGGCCAGCCCAAGACCCTTCAAGCTCTGAGCCTAGCATGCCCTATACTCTGAACCCATACCTACATAGTAAAAATAAAACATTAACCAGTACATCCAATAGAGTCTTCCTCCCCATACCTGACTTCTTTTTTTATTTATTTACATTTAAATTAGTTTTTTATTTATTTTTGTTTTTACATCCCAAATGAAGTTTCCCGTGTCTACTTTCTTCCCAGCCTACCCCCCATATCTGACTTTTTTAGTGTTGTTTTTGAAATGATTCTCCAGTATATTTTCAGAGCTCCAGTTCTTCTGGCTTAGCCAGACACTTGGTACTGATACACTGTATAGCTGTAGACACATTCTGTTTCCTTGGGCCTCCGTGTCCAACCTAGGAAGGAGGGTGGCCCCAAGGACTTGAAGCTTTCATATTTCCCCTGGGGTGGCAGCATCATGCAAAGTAGGCATAGAAAAATATGTTGACACACATGAGGAAGATGGCGTTGAAATTGCACACACGGGTCCAGAAAGCATGTTTCTGGGGTGTCTGGCCATTGCCTACAGGAGGTTAAGGTAGGACAGTGAGGGATGCAGGCTATACTCGGGTGTCCATATCCCTAGCCCCAGCATGGGGGCGGGATGAGGAGCAATCCCAGGGACACCCACTTACCTTCTTTGGTTCCTAAGGACTGGTCCAGAGCCAGAGTCCACCAGGTGAGGTTTTCTACCTGCAGAGAAGAGGTGTGGCAGAACAGAGTGGCCCTTGAGAGTATGAGGGACAGTTACAGAAGGAGCTTAGTTCAAAGACAGAGAGGTCTGGGCCAGGAAGGGTTAGGAGTCAACAGTGGGAATGTCTGGAGTCAGACACGGGCAGAGATCTGCATGTTAGCAGAGACAGGAATCCATAAATCAATCAGGTCAGGAATGGGGCCTGTGGTAACTGGGGTCAGGGGACGGGACTGCCTCACCTGTCTTTGCTGAGGGGGTGGACTCAGTAGGCTCCCAGCGGCCACTACAGCACAAGTGAGGAGGAACAGGGCGATGGCAAAATGCAAGTAGTGCACACTGCGGAGGAGGGCTGGCCGCTCATCTGTCTGACCGCAGGGGGGCTCCGGGTACAGGAATTCCAGGACCAGCCTCAGAGCACCCACCAGAAGCCCGGCCATCAGACCCCAAAAGGCTCCCTGGGGAAAAGAGAGACAGAGGAAGACCTCAGAGGACTCGTGGGGGCACCCTTAAGGGGAACCCCGCCCGACCTGCCTGTGCCACCCACCTGCTCATTGGCCCTCCTCCAGAAGATGCCCAGGACGAAGATGGCGGTGACAGGGGGCGCCAACGAGCTGGTCACCGACTGCATGTAGATAAAGAGCTGTCCGCTGTTGGAACCCTGCAGGACTGGGATCCAGGCCACGCTCACGCCTATGAGCACCA